CTGTATATATATATATATATACACACTTAACAAAATTATAAACGCATCACTTTTGTTTTTGCCCCCATTTTTCATGAGCTGAACTCAAAGATCTAAGACTTTTTCTATGTACACAAAAGGCCTATTTCTATTTTAGAAGAAACTTTCAGAGGCCACTTAGAGGCTTTTGCATCTGAACTCATGAATAATGATGCTTATGATGATGATAACAATTTGTACTCAGTATGATAATAATCTTTTATTAGTGGTTTCAGTCAAGTGTATTTATTAATTTTAAACATTCATTCATTCATTTTTGCATAATAGTCGTTTGCGTTGTTAGGCCAAATGACTGAATAAATCATAGTGTCGTGGACTTCATTTCCCACAATGCCTAGCTTTATCCCGCGGGCGTCATATCCGGAAAACCGTACAGTTATAAAGTCCAGTGTGTTTCGTTTCAGAGAAATGTTGATACACTTATTAGAATAAATGCACAAGAGTCCAACAGAAGAACAGGATGAGTGTCTCGTTTTCTTAGATCATCTGGAGAGTTTGTAATTTATGCATGTCAGTGTTTTTCTCGCTGGCAACTTACGTGCAGGTAAATGTTATTCTCAGTTTATTTGCACACATTGAATGAGCGATGGTCATCAAATGAAGCGCTCGTTTATGGACATAAGACATGATCAGTGATAATTAATCGCTGATTTGTTTGATTATCTTCAGATAAATGATCCGGATGCTGTCTTGTGGATGGTAAGACTCACTTTCACCTCAAATGAGAAACATTTCTGCCGCTCTAAAACATATATGTGTGCTCCTTATATAATGCTGTGTTTGTTTCTGCAGGCTGGTTATGCAGTTCCAGCTGGACTGTGTTTTTTGCTTTGCTGTCAACCACAAATAACAGGCAAGTGAAGTTTCTCATGAATCAAAATGAGACGCGATGCTCCCATCTAGTGGAGTAGAAATACACCAAAAAATTACAGGGTTATAAATATAATAAATATTTTTTTACATTCGAGTTTGGTATTGTCTGATAAATAAAATATATATGAAATTATATCATACATCATAAAGACAATGATATGCAATATTTACCTCATTTATTTACCACATAAAGCTCAATGTTTTGCATTAAAAAGACGATACAAATAAATGTACAAACAAATGTATGTATGCAAAACAGTATATTCAGAAGACACAAGACGTGAGTTTCAGTCTGCATGCATTTTTCACATACAAAATGCCACTTCTCAATCGCCATAAGAGATTATGGTAGATTGTAGAGTTATAAATTGATGTTATTACCTTTCCAGAGTCACTATTATGGAGGCGAATGGCTGATCTGCATGTGCTTGTAGCCTCTGCGTTTGGAGTCATTCTGGGCTGGAAACTTTATAAAGAGGGAATTACAGACATTTTCCAGCAAGAGGAAGGAAGGTAACCATTCAGAGGAGTTTTGACCAATATTCTGTTACATTAGGAGAATAAAACCGATTATGTTATCATAACAGAGAATGTTCTGGACTCCTGCTGACGGTTTTCTGGCTGCTGTTGTGTCGGCGTTCAGGAAGGTAAATGCATTACTTTATGATTTTAACATCCGGAAATGCTATTCGGTTGACTGTGACTCGGTATGAATGTTTTTCAGCTGTATTATGGTCATGAATGAGTGTTTGTGTCCTGTAGGAGTTCTGTGGGCTCTGTCAGGATCTGCACTGCTGTGGGAATTACTGTGTTTCCCTTCATCACGTGGATCTATTACTACATGAACACAGAGCTGAGGAAACACTGGCCTGAACACTGTACAACTGCTCTCTGATCAGCCAAAACACTCAAGAAACCACATCTGAACTCTGGATCGGCAGGACATACAGATGAACTCAGCTTTACTGAAATGGACTGATGGACTGGTAATATGATCTTGAATAAATATTTAATAATTCAAACATTGTAGAAATACAAACTCTCCAAACACCAGTGCTGCAAACATGATAATGTTATCTGTTCCCTCAATAGCCTGAATAAAATGAATGTAAATAAGAGTATGTGTGTCATAATGCTTTTAATGTAGATAATGTTATAATGAAGGATCTGATCTGCCATCTGAAGGTTTAAATATACATTCTCATTATTATTGTATGTACATGGTTAAGCTTTGCTTACAGCTGTAATTAGTTTTAAATAAATTAACATCACATATATACAAAGTAAAAGTGTTATGACACAATAAAACATGTTACATATATATACAGCTATTTACAAAACCAAGAAAACAGTACAAATAACAATAACACTGAACTCAGCTTGAGTTCAATGTGATCAAACAGTGTCATTATTGTATTTGAAGCTTTTTACAGTCCATGTTGTTTCAAAGCAGTTTTGCAGAAAACTGTACCTTAATATCTTGTGTGGGATAAATGTGAAATAGTTTTCTCTGATTGTTGACAGTTTGTGATTTCACTGAATCAGACTGTGTTTCCTCCTGATCTTCAGTCTTCAGATCTGTCCGTTCATGGGTTTCTGCTGTGTTCTGCGTTCCCTGTAATCTTTTCACTCGTTTAGATCTCACTGCCTTCTGTGTTCAGGACAAGATATGCCATTTAAACATTATTCATGTAACATCCTCATACTTTTTGAGAATGATGTAGCATGAAGTAAAAAGTCTCCTGATGTTGCAGGTCAGTTTTAATCTCAAATCAGTGCAGTTTTATAATTGATACTCACCTGACAAGACTTCAGACAGTTTGCAATCTCTGTGAGGTCAGAAAATCAGGACAAAAGATATTAGTTTATCTGTTTGAATCTGATCATTATCAGTTAAAATTAAATTAAAGAACTATACTCATTCACTTAGACCTTCACAATGACTTTAATAAGTGCAGCCACTTGGATCTATCTAAATGCTTTTTAATGGTGACTTTGATTGTAATAAGTACAACACACTGTAAAATAAATAAATAAACATAAATTCAACCCACTTCAACTTGAAAACTTCAAATTTATTTGTCATTGTTCATGTGTGTTAAATGCTGTCTGTCTTGTAAGACATTTACTTTCATGGTTTTACACTGTGGTCTTTCAGAGACACTGTGCATGCAGAAGGGAAATACAGCTTGTATAACAGTGTAAATTTGCCGTCCCCTCAAAATAACTCAACACACAGCCATTAATGTCTAAACTGCTGGCCACAAAAGTGAGTACACCCCTAAGTGAAAATGTCCAAATTGGACCCAAATGTCAATATTTTGTGTGGCCACCATTATTTTCCAGCACTGCACTGACAGGCTGACCCCCCACCCCTTCAACCTCTGCAGTAATGCTGACAGCACTCATACGTCTATTTCCCAAACACAACCTCTGGATATGACGCTGAGCACGTGCACTCAACTTCTTTGGTCGACCATGGCGAGGCCTGTTCTGAGTGGAACCTGTCCTGTTAAACCGCTGTATAGTCTTGGCCACCGTGCTGCAGCTCAGTTCCGGGGTCTTGGCAATCTTCTTATAGCCTACGCCATCTTTATGTAGAGCAACAATTGATTTTTTTCAGATCCTCAGAGAGTTCTTTGCCATGAGGTGCCATGTTGAACTTCCAATGACCAGTATGAGAGAGTGAGAGCAATAACACCATATTTAACACACCTGCTCCCCATTCGCACCTGAGACCTTGTAACACTAATGAGTCACATGACACCGGGGAGAGAAAATGGCTAATTGGACCCAATTTGGACATTTTCACTTAGGGGTGTACTCACTTTTGTGGCCAGCGGTTTAGACATTAATGGCTGTGTGTTGAGTTATTTTGAGGGGACGTCAAATTTACACTGTTATACAAGCTGTACACTCACTACTTTACATTGTATCAAAGTGTCATTTCTTCAGTGTTGTCACATGAAAAGATATAATAAAATATTTACAAAAATGTGAGGGGTGTACTCACTTCTGTGAGATACTGTATATATAAAGCATTCCTGCAGCTCAAACAGTAGATCATGGCACTAGTAATGCCAAGATCATGGGTTTGATTCCCAGGAATGCATGAACTGATGAAATGTAGCTATACCTTGAATGCAGTATAATATAAGCACCTTTAGATAAATGCATCTGCCAAAAACATAAATGCAAATGGAATGATAAAGCAACACTAAAGCAAAGCAAAAATTGGGTCAAATTCAGTTTAGCTACTAAAGGTATGCAGAAAATATCCCTATACTGACAGTCATCACTGAAATCATTAAAATAAAATAAAAAACAACTGACCACAGGACACGGATGCTTGGCCAACTGTAAGACTTCTCTATTAGATGTTCTGAGCATTTGAGGGTGCAGTTGTGTAAGATTTGTATCTACCAATTTTGGATTATCCATTTGAATATGTAAATACAAGAAATACCTATATATACAGTGGGTACGGAAAGTATTCAGACCCTCTTAAATTTTTCACTCTTTGTTATATTGCAGCCATTTGCTAAAATCATTTAAGTTAATTTTTTTTCCTTATTAATGTACACACAGCACCCCATATTGACAGAAAAACACAGATTTGTTGCAGATCTTATCTTATTTGTTAGTTTTTGTCATTATCATGATAAACTAACAGCTGGTTTACTAAAACTACAAATCATAGACTGGGAGGAAAATAGGATACAGAGACTAGCTATGGGAAATGTTGGAATGCAGAAAAAAATGCTGAAAGCTGAACAGATCATCAACAAGATATGTTAAACATGTGACAAGTAAAGCAGAAGAGATTAATGTAAAGCTACTCTGAAAATATGTATAACACACCACACACGCATTGGTCAGTTAAATGATGTAAATAAAAAAAAGAATCATACATATAGGCATATATTAATTCCAAGCATCTGTACAGAAGCCTAGATCAAAGTTTTTAAGCTCATGAGCAAGTTTGAATAGATTTAAATAGGACAATTAATTATGTGCCTTGTCCAAATCAGCAATAACATTTAAAAAGTGCCTACTAGAAGTGACACTGTAGTGAAGCGATGGCAGATGTTTATCATTAAATTAATATTTGCAGTTTAAATAAAATTTTCTATTTTATTTTATTGTTTACTGTGTTCAAATTTTTATATTTTAATAAATAGGTTTTAAACTAAATCTTTTTTTTTAGAATAAATTATGAACCACTTAAGTTTATTTGTATTTTTAAAATATGTGATGTCTTACCTGAAGGTCTTGTTTATTTGTCAGCTTGTCTTTGCTTTTGCATCTTTCTGTGTTGAGAACAAATTAATATTTTAAATGAAAAATGAAAAAACGGGAGACCATAAGTGATTGTAAAAATATATCGTTCAGTCATGAAACTCTAGATGGCACAGGCTGACTGGTTGTTAATGTAACTGATGATATTCAGAGAGTTAAACGACTTGGCACAAACTGATTGGTTCATGCTGCATATGCAGCCAATGAGCTTACTGCCTTGCATTTATATGGCTGGCTAGCATTCACTTGAGATTCCTGCAGCGTGCTTTCAGAGTTCTCTGAAACCCTCCAGATCTGCTATGGGGTTATTTTATATGCTGTTTTGTGCAGCAGCAGTATGTCTTAAATACTCACGGCACCGTATCACAGTATGCATTGGCAGTAGTAAGTTCCTGTACTTGCTTGCAGCAGCAGCAATAATCTACAACTACAGCAATAACTAAAAATAGCAGCAGCAATTCAGCAGCAGCGTAGCAGATCTGTTCCGCCAAGACCAAATACATTAACACTGTCATATTCATCATCATGCTAAAATGTTCCGAGAGTTGTCATGATTGAAATAAGTTTATTCAATAATGTCAGTTGCACAAAGCAGCACAAACTCAGCACAAAGTGTTGATATATCATGCAAAGACCACAGCGAATTACTGCTTCACAACATCATCTGGTGACGCTGAAAACCTTTAGGTGGAGACATTCACTTATTCCTCTAACTTGAGAATAGATACAACATACAACATAACATTCAACAACAGAATACAAAGAGCAAAGAACAATCAGAAATGGTAAGTAATAAGTAATACACAGAATAGAGTAAATATTACTGTATATACATGAGAAAAACTATGAAATAAACATGGACATAACAAATCAAGAATAACAGATGTATGTTCATGCTCATGAAACTGCACATACTGACTGTTATTATAAACTCCAATGAGATCCCTCAGTCCTTCTACATTCTGGGTGACACATGACTGATCTAGTCCAAAAACAACTTAATATCTGGTCCAATAAAATAACTTGTTGGCCGATGGTTTGTTCAGGTCCTATAGATTTGGACTGATGAAATCAGACTGTTAAGGATCCTGAGTGTTTGTGAGTGGCTTTGAAAGTTTGGACTTTCTCATCTCTTCTAGTTCCTTTTGGATCTTATAGACCTTCTCGGCCAGTAAGTGGTAATATTCATCCTGAACACAAGACATTTAGACATAAAAACAGGACAAAATCACCAAATAAAAATAAGGTTGAGGCATCATGAAATCATGGTTCAAATTCAGGCTTTTCTAGTGTAAATAAAGGCAAAAATAATAATAAATCAGGCTGAAATGTGGCATGAAAGCTTATGTGGTTTACCCTGCTGTTGGCAGACTCATAGAAGTCCCCTTCAACTCTACATGCGTAAGCAACCAAGTTCCCCAAGCGTCTGTCCTGCAGTGCTGCAGGGTCTGGGTTGGGGAATATGGCTTGAACCCTACAAGAGCATTTAAGAAATTGAAAAATGCTCAAAAACAACCAAAGACACCCATTATGATGAGAGACAGCTCTTCTTGAACTCACAGCTTGTGCACTAGATGATTCCTCAGGTCCTGAGTGATGTTCTCATGCCAGGACTTCTTCACGCCAGGTAGTGACAGCGGTACAGATGCAGAAAGGTTCCCTGTGGAGGATTAACATTTTAGAGGGATCTTTCTTTCCTCCATTACACTCACTGAAATGATCAGACAAACTACATTTACTTATGGACTAGAAAACTGATGCACTTGTGTGCAGAGTAATTAAATGGTCAATTTTATTCAATATAATGCCAGATGAGGTTAGTGATTAAGGTTAATGATGAATATTGTGCATGCCGCTGCTTGTAATATATATATATATATATATTCGGGACGAGAAGCACCGATTCGCACAATCGCATGTATCGCACACCGGACGCGTCGCCACCAGATGGCGCTGTTTTCGACACTCTCGACGCTTTGAATCTTTTCCCGGAACAGTCAGGGAACAACATGTATTTCCCTATTCGTGGCATAAATATGTTCAGTTAATAAGAAGGAACGCCAATACAATTCTTCTTTGGATTCGAATTCCAAGATGATCCCGGAAGTGTCGTCGTCGAGTGTTTGTTTGTGAACCGCTACGCGATTTAAAAATCAATGTTCTGCTTGAAACGTTTTACAAAATGATACTAATGTATATGCTTTTCAGTCGCGAATTCTTTTGTCGTTCTGATCTGTAACTTTTCAAAAATATTTGATGGGCCTGCTCAACAGTCACACTTCACACAAGGAAGTAAAATAAGTTCGAAGGCGTTTCATCTTCCCTTAACCTGGGTAAAATAACGACATAAACTCTTTCAAATCATTTTCTATTTAACCAGCGTGTACTTACAGTTTTGCAATAATTCCTCTTCAAATGTAAAATCCATTTTGCTTGCCAGAGAGCGTCCTGCGCAGAGGAAGAAACAGTCTATGGGAACAAGAACCGATAGCACTTCTTGCTCTTGTTGAGACCCCAGGGGACCCGTGACAAATGTGGGGGGAGCCAACCATTTCTAGTGAAGCCCTCCTGCTTCAAAGCAGCTGCACGAGTAATGTTCACACAGAACCTACAATGTCTGAAGAAATACCCCGTATCTCATAGCAAAGGCTAGATAATGCTCATAGCATGAACTTGCTGGAGCTTTAGCAATTAAAAGACCCTTACAGCAATCTTTGCATATGCTGTATATATAAATACACACATATTTAGGCTGTAAATCCACTTTATATTTAACTGATCTTCTTATGCCCTATAATCCATCTGGCTCTTTAAGGTCACAAAACTCTGGAGTTTTAGTAGTACCTAGGATATCTAAGTCCACTAAAGGAGGGAGACCATTTTCCAATCTGACTCCCAAACTCTGGAATAGTCTTCCTGATAATGTCCGGGGCTCAAACACACTCTCTCTGTTTAGATTAAAGACACATCTCTTCAGCCAAGCATTCGCATAATGAATCTCAATCTCACCCTTGTTCCCATTTAGATCAGATAAAAGTAATTTTTTGTTTGTTTGTTTGTTATGAACAGCAGCTCCGCTAATTAATTTCTATCTACCTTTCTGTTTCTACCCTGGGATGCCCATCTCGAGGTATCTAGAGATTACACCAGCTCCAGCGTGGATCCAGACTCATAAAAACTTCTGATGACCCCAACACCTGTGAAGAGATGATGCTGACCCCTGCGAGGACCCCAGATGACGCCAACTTGAATCGACATGCACAGCTGCCAAAATGTCTCTATATTGTAATCATTATGATCACACTTGTATCTGAATGCTGTACAGTTGCTTTGACACAATCTGTATTGTTAAAAGCACTATATAAATAAAGGTGACTTGACTTGACTTGTAATAATCGCATTAATGAGCTTCTGCCTGATATGAATTCATGTTAGCAAGCTGTATGATTCTATTATCTTGAACTGTTCATTTGTCAAATGAACATTACTTGGACACATTCACTTCTGCTTTGTAATGTAGACACATGCATTTTCTGTAAAGATGCTTTGAAACAATGTGTATTGTGAAAAGCGCTATACAAATAAATTTGAATTGAATTGAATTCAGCTTGCATCTGAGAGTCTACAGAGCAGTTTGTCTACAGAGTGACATCCTCACCCACAGACAGACAATCAGATCCTGATACTATCAAATGCTCTGAAAGAATACAAAAAAGTGAAATACCAGAGGAAAAAACTATCAAAGAGTTATCCAGAACTGTGTAATGGATCAGAATTACATCCAAACTTACCAGCAACTTTTTTTTAAAGCAGTATCACCACAGAGGATCGGGTCGGACAGCAGGAGTGACTGAAGTGTTTTTGCACTGGGGCTCAAAGCTAAGACTAGATTATGATTGAAGGTAATACATCTGAGTTGTATATCACCATGGTATTTCATTCTACAGAAATTTACAAAATAGAAACAGTTGCAGCCTAGTAAGAAACTGGATTGTGGTCTCACTGAGATTGACCAGTAAAACTACTGAAACCTGGGCACATCAAGTAGAACGATTTCTTTTTCAGAAATGACGAACTTGAAGACTTCAATAGAAAGCACTCTCAGCATTTATTGCTATTACAGTTACACAAACTTAAACTAGCAATTCAGACACATAACTGACAGAACACTTAATTTCCAGTTCATTTTAAACATTGCATAAATACGTTTTGATATATTTAAATTTGGTTCAATCAATTGTGTTACTTTACCACTATTAGTTGAAATAGTAAATAATGCCTGATCACTGCCCAACCTTACATATGCCTTCATACTGACTTAAAAAAATATTGAATTTAATAAAGAAAAACAGACTGACATTTTCACACACCTTGGTACTTAAAACCCCAAAGTATTGCAACTGGTGAAAGACAACCAAACAGCTTGTTGATCTTTACAGCTGAGGTTCTCATGGATTTACGGAGCGAACAAAGTGTGGAAGAGTCTGTTTCTCATGTCTCTGTGAAACATCAGAATCAGGTGCAGACAGATTCTCCATGTACTGTATAAATCTCTGGTGTACTCTGTGTTTTTGAAAGAAACAAGAAGAAACTGGCATCTATACAACTGAACACATCTTTTAAAGCCTTATACTGCAGATCAGCCTAAACATTGTAACATGATAATAATTACATTACCCTGAGATGAAATCTGCATCATTGAAGTCAGTTCCCTTGTTTACATATAAATCTGTGACAGGAAGCATAATTAAAAAAGAACTATAGGCTTCATATATACAGCTGCATTGAAAGAAAGAAACCTGCACTTACCCAGGCTTAATCTTCACTATAGGACAGGAGGCATTAAAGAAAAGAAAATTATTTACATGACATGTTACATTTACAATCATGTAAATATTTAATATTATCAACATTTAGGATGTTGACTAGCTTTAGGAAAATTAAAACCACAGTGAGTAAATCAGGTTGTGTTTACACTGTATGCACAATTTAGATATTTTGGCTAAAATGGCCCACTTGTTTTCATAAAGTATCCTACTAATAATAAAATTTATTAGGGCGGTCATTTGAATACAATTTTTTGTGACTAATTAAATATTTTTTTAGTTAACATAATGCATTTAATATATCAATTTTAAAGACAGAAAAATGTGGTGGTAACCCTGCTTAAAGTTATTGTGAAACACCTTTGCCGAGAGTTAAAAGCATGAGCGTAAAGTGATATCTGTAGCACACTGTATACACTAATTTACACTTTAAACTTGGCATTGTGTACTATAAATATTGTTGGTTCGTCTTTAGCTCTTTAAGTACCTGTTTGGATGGATTTTTTTGGCTGTTTTTTACTGAGCCATATAACTTTTTAATAAACCGAACACAGATTTCACCAAAATACATCAGTCTGGCTCATTATTTATTATGTTAATATTCATTGAGTCATACATTTGACAATCAGATTAATTTAATCAACTGAGTCTATTTTAAAAATATATTAGAAGATACTTACAGAAAGCACATATTTGTAAAATCATCCAATATAAGACAAAAACACATTCAGAGAGAAATACTACGACTCTCAGATCCTTCACGACATGCTCACCATTTCCTAAGAATTACAATTAAACTACTACATATGAAAACAGAAACAAAATTAAGGCATTGGAAAACGAAAAGGTCAAGCAATGTTTAGTAATTGCACTGTAATTTGTTGTGTATATTTCCTAAAGACACGGTGTATTACAGTGTGTTAGATTAGATAACTCTCTATGACTTAAAAATATTACAATCACTCACGTGCTTTCAGGATCAGTTCTGCTGTCAGTGTACCAGAGTTCAACAAAACAAGACCAACTGCTCCAAACATGAACATGATTTTATGACAGAGAGACACTCACACACACACACACACACACACACACACACACACACCCACACACACACACACACACACACACAATTTAATCAACTGAGTCTATTTTAAAAATATATTAGAAGATACTTACAGAAAGCACATATTTGTAAAATCATCCAATATAAGACAAAAACACATTCAGAGAGAAATACTACGACTCTCAGATCCTTCACGACATGCTCACCATTTCCTAAGAATTACAATTAAAATACTACATATGAAAACAGAAACAAAATTAAGGCATTGGAAAACGAAAAGGTCAAGCAATGTTTAGTAATTGCACTGTAATTTGTTGTGTATATTTCCTAAAGACACAGTGTATTACAGTGTGTTAGATTAGATAACTCTCTATGACTTAAAAATATTACAATCACTCACGTGCTTTCAGGATCAGTTCTGCTGTCAGTGTACCAGAGTTCAACAAAACAAGACCAACTGCTCCAAACATGAACATGATTTTATGACAGAGAGACACTAACACACACACACACACACACACACACACACACACAAAAACAAACAAACCACTAACACACACACACACACACACACACACACACACACAAAAACAAACAAACCAAATAGTTGCTCTAATACATTAAACAATTGTTACCACTGAACACTATATTTGTATGTTAATTTTAGTAGATTTCTTTTCTATGTTCTACTATAGAATTGTATTTATATTCTATTGCTTTAACAGAGTTAAGAGGGTTTTTTAATACATATTGGGTAAATCAAGAAATTTAGAAATAAAGTGAATCATATTGTCAGCAGTCAGTAATTACATGCATTTGATCCTTGCTGGCTCATCTCGGTCTGTTGTTGTTGTCTCTGTGCTTCTGAATGTTCTGCCTCTGTGTAAAAACAAAAATGAAATCACATTCAAAAGGTCAAAAGAACAAATAACATGTTCACTTACTGATAATATGACACTATACTGTGCCTGCTACATCAAACATTAAGTGTAAAAAAATTAATTGTTGAAAAAAATATGGTGAAAATATTTGAAGCATCAAGGCATGAATTTGGTTAGGATACATTTCAGAGTTTATAATTACATTTAGATGACATTTCAGTAGCACTTCTTTTGGCCAACAAAGGTGACAGTGTGTGCAGTATAGAAAGTACAAAACATTGTCAGGGTAACTAAAATAAGAATTAATTATCACAGAATTAAAGAATAATTACTAATGAGATCCATGTGTATATTCAGTTAATCCTCAGTCTTGCTCATGTGATAAAAAAAATGTTCTAAAATGTATACTTGATATTAAACTCGCAGAAATTTGATTCATACATTTTGCTTTCATTATATTTTATATATAACTTGTAAAATGTATAACAGTTATCTCATTTCTGACTTTCATAACACCATAGTATGCTCTTTTATAATTACAGAGTGTGGTTATAAAGGACATGCATTATGATGGATATTACCAATAACATAATCTCGGTCTTCAAAGGCCACCATAATCCTCAGAACTTCAAGAAATACAACCATAAAGGTCCACTGCAAGTATTCTGTCAATTAAAAAGAATGTATTTCTGTTCACCACAACATATTTAACTTTTTCATGATTCCCTTTATTAAAAATAAATAAACTGATAACACTTTAGGGACCAGTTCTCACTATTAACTAGTTGCTTATTAGCATGAATATTACTAGCATATTGTTTATCAGCCTTATTCTGCATGACCATATTCTGGATCCCTTAATCCACCCCATACCTAAACTTACCAACTAACTATTAATAAGCAGCAAATTATGAGTTTGAGGCAACAGTCATAGTTAATAGTTAGTTAATAGTGAGAATTGTTCCCCAAACTATAGTGTGACAAAAAAGGTAAGTAGCATACCTTTCTCTCTTCCAAATATGCATACATGAACATAGACCACTAGGATGCTATATAATGTTATCACTAATTTCCAGAAGCTAGCTGTGGAAAAAACAAACCATCACAGTTCACATAATACAACTAATCTCAGATTTGATAGCTGAATTGAACATTTGTAAATCACTGTTGAGCAAATATTATCCAACAGCATAACATTCATAAATCACAATTTTTTTACTTTTAATATTACTGAATTTAACTACACATTCGCAATAACATGCACTTACTTCGCATACACATAAGCAGTATTGCCTGAACCATTGGCGCAGCTAGAAAAGCTAAAAACAAGATTACAGGTCAATTTTCAATTCAAACAAGGTAATAGTACATAATGTCATGATTGCTCAGAAGACAACATACATGCTAGAATCAAATAAAGAGTCTATTTTCAGTTGCTTCATTAGTGTCATTAATGTAGTTTTTGTAAGTATTGCTCATTACTGTATTCATATTACTGTATTTAATAATCTAAGTGTGAAGGGAACTGTACTCAGGTGCAACTTACCTGGACTGGGAAGTCCAAATAAGGAAATCAGTAGGAAGAATTGTGCCAGAGACAGAAAATATAACCAGACCCACTTCACATGCATCCTGATAAAACCTTAAAAATAATAATAAAAAATGAACGGATGCTCATCACATCTTTTCTCATATAACAGAACTCCAATTATGAAAAGGACCATGTTGCTCATCACAACAGTAAGGATAACATTTGTTTGCTGGTTAAATGTGTGAGCTTTAGCTTCAAATGGTCAAAGAAAAGATCAAAATCTACACTGTAAAAAATGATTGTGATTTTAACAGTAAAAGACTGTAAAAATGCTACAGTAAAAACCTGTTAACTGGTTAACAGTAAGTTTCCATACTATATTCGTTGAATAAATGTAATTACATTTAATGTGATTTTCCAGTAAAATACTGTTAAAAATATGGTTTTTGGAAGTGAAAAATAAAAAGTAATTGTATAATTTATGGTGAAAAAACATAAATTGACACTCCCAGAATTCCCATCATGACACTTCATATTTGAGGTTTTTCTTATCAGTTGTGTACACTAGGATTTATTCTTACATCTAATGTTGTTAAATTAATGTTTATTGTATTATTTCAGTATCATGTGTGTCACCATGATGGGGTTTAGTGTTAGTGTGAATGACACTGTGCACCTTCTATATACAGTATAAGTATTGCCCTCTTCAGCTCGTAGAAAAGCTGTTTGTGATGAGCTTTGGTTCATCATGTGACTCTCTCGTCACCACCAGTTTTTGGTGGTTATCAGTACATTACAATGGTTCAAAACAGATATTAGTACTTCAACATGTTGGTTTATTAACATTACATCAGTTTATGAAATACGGTATTTTATTGTAAATTTAAGTTAAGTCTGTAAAACCTAAAATGTTGCTACCATATTTTTTACGGTGAAGTTCTGGCAACCACAGCTGCCGGTATTTTACCGTAAATGTCACAGATTTTTTTTTTTTTACAGCTCATGTAAACTATATGCTCACTCCCTTTCCTTACTTTTCTTCTCTTTGCTGTTCCTCTTTTTCCTGCACTCTCTTTTTTCTCAGCCTTCTGGAGCTTTTGTTTTTTTACTCAGCCTGACACTTATATATAAGCTATACCAACTTGTGAAAACAAATAATTCAGAAACTCTTACCTCTACTCAAAATGAAAGAGAACAGCACAACACATCCATAGAACATTCCACAAATGATGCGCCATGCAGAGTTCTTATGTGCAGACTTTATCCAGGCATCTATCAAAAACACTGCCAGAAGAACAGATCAAAATTAAATGCAAAAAAAGTAAATAAAAAAATAAAAATATATAAAAATGACAAGTGTAACTGCAAGAAAATGATAGACCTTAAGAATGAGTGAATTGTGCAATGTTTGTCAAACAATTTGTCGTTTTGATTAAATAAGGCTGTTCTAATGTATGTGGAGATGTATGTGTGCAAAAGTACCTAATCTTATTTCAGAATGATGAACATCCCCCCATATTTTAAATCCTCACCCCCATTGTTATTATTAAAGCACATTAAAAGGTATGAAAGGCAGATTGTGCCCATTTTATATGAAGTAATGAAAAGCTTGTCCCCAAATTATGTGTCAGAAGTAAAAACAGAAGTGATTTGATTATGATTTTAAATGTTCACAATGGCAATGCAAAAAAAAAAGCTGCCAATATTAAAAAAGTATGTGAAAAATAAATAAATTTTTATTTTCCTTCTCAATGCTAAAGCAATAACCATGACACAAATAAAAAATCTAAGTCCTACGTAAAAACGTGCTATTATGGGCTCTAAAATGTGCTGCTCATGCAGTATGTTTGAATCCTGTGTAAACACCTAATACTTATCAACATTAATTATAGTTCCAGTCCAACTATCCATAGCCCATTTATTTATTCTTGTAGCTCAAACTGTAGAGTATGGCTAGCAATGCTGATGTCAAGTTTGATTCCCACGGAAAGCATAAACTGATCAAATGTACACCTCACATAATGAAATGTAAGTCACTTTTGATAAAAGCATCTGGTAAATGCATGAATGTAAATGCTTTCTGTTGTGCACCTCCTCAGACTCTCTACCTCTTTTAAACAGTGAGGCCCACCTACTGATTATAATAGAAGTTACATACTGGATGGCTTTGAAAATGAAATTGTAAAATAAAGAAAACAGAAAATTAAAACTAAACTTTACATTTTAATTTAAATATTTGCTTTTTCAATTTAATATTGACAGTCTAGTCCCAATATTGTTGTGAAAATGATTTGTCAATTAATTTTCAAAAAATTAGATGGTTTATGTTTTTTTTTCTGCTAATTTTATCATTTCAACCTGGCAGTCTGCCTTTCAGGTGTTATAATCTATCTATCTATCTATCTATCTATCTATCTATCTATCTATCTATCTATCTATCTATCTATCTATCTATCTATCTATCTATAATGGAGTAATGTGGAATAAATGCCCTACAAGCAGACAGATATCATTTACATTTGTGAAATGCTTTTAATTGCTTTTAATGTGAGAATAATGTCCATGACTTCTGCTGTGCAAAATTCGGATTTACCCACCTGAATAAACAACGACTGTGGAAATAGCTAATTCTCGTTTTCTACTTGAAAACTTGATCCATGTTTTAAGGTTGTCTGTAAGCACACAACATTACACCCAATTAATATTTTATTATAAAGCTTAACAATGTTTGTTTGTTCTGTCCTGCTTGAGTAAATTGTATCCCCCTCTGTTGGCAAACAGACAAATTTTAAATATTCTTATTCCCAAAATATCACATATTAATGCATGGTCTCGAGTCACCCTGAATTCCTCGATTTTAAAAATCTAGTGTAGCATCAGTTCTGGCAGGTCACGTTAGTCAAGCTCGCATCAGCTGACTCTCAGCTGATCCCCATCAACCTATGGGAATACGACACCTATCTAAGCATTCATATATAAGGTCCCTCAGTATTATCAGCAGTTTTCGCATTAATTACCCTCCTCCATCCCCAACTCCTCCTTTGTTAGTCAGGATTCAGCCTTCTGATTCTACTTTGAATCAGACTAATTCTAAAATGTGTACATAACATTATTGAACTTTAACAATATCTGCAATACATTTATGTTGGTTCTGTTCTGTTTACCCTGGGGGGGTTATTGCTGCTCTCCCTGCTCTCATCTATGCTAGGCTGCATGGATGCGCAGGGAGTTCTTGCCCAGAACGGAACCATACCGCCAATCCAAACTGTATGCTAATTGTCAATCATCTTTGACGATAGTGGTCCTGACAGAAATGTGTTGTCTCCATGTGTTCACCTTGAGTCAGGCATAGAAATCTTAGCCTCATTTCAATATTTTACATCATGTATTTAACTGACAGCATTAATCTCTTAAAATATGTCAAGTCTTAAAATGTCATCATCAACATATTTCTCACTGAAAAAAATAAAATATTTAGATTGTAAACATACCTTGAAGATAATTTAAATAAGACAAAGCCCAAATCAACATTAAAGACCTCAGAATATTAAGAGCACAGCAAGTGATGGTCTCATTCAGAAGTTCTGGAACAGAATATTAAATGATGGGTATTAGATGACATGAGACAAAAAACTTTTCTCATCATGAAAAATTAGCACTACATTACAACACTTAGAAAATCTGACATATTCTTAATATTGTTCTGTACATAATTACAATATCTAAGATGCTAAACTACTGTACTGCACTCACCTTCAGTAAGAACCCAGAAGATAAAGGCAAAGAACATACAGATGTTTGGATAAAAGACCAGAGAAAGCTGAAGATTCCTGATTGTTCTGCTGGTGACTGGAAGATGTAAAACTATCCCAGTTAAATGAGACACTTACAGATACACATACAGAGTTAAGTACCACAAGTGAGAACAATTCTCTTCCAAACACACCTGTGTTATTTGATCTGCAGTAGATCAGACAGCAGAGCAGAAGCACAGCTCCACATCCAGCAGCAAAACAGAAAAATAACACGTCTCCATGTGTTCACCTTGAGTCAGGCATAGAAATCTTAGCCTCATTTCAATATTTTACATCATGTATTTAACTGACAGCATTAATCTCTTAAAATATGTCAAGTCTTAAAATGTCATCATCAACATATTTCTCACTGAAAAAAATAAAATATTTAGATTGTAAACATACCTTGAAGATAATTTAAATAAGACAAAGCCCAAATCAACATTAAAGACCTCAGAATATTAAGAGCACAGCAAGTGATGGTCTCATTCAGAAGTTCTGGAACAGAATATTAAATGATGGGTATTAGATGACATGAGACAAAAAACTTTTCTCATCATGAAAAATTAGCACTACATTACAACACTTAGAAAATCTGACATATTCTTAATATTGTTCTGTACATAATTACAATATCTAAGATGCTAAACTACTGTACTGCACTCACCTTCAGTAAGAACCCAGAAGATAAAGGCAAAGAACATACAGATGTTTGGATAAAAGACCAGAGAAAGCTGAAGATTCCTGATTGTTCTGCTGGTGACTGGAAGATGTAAAACTATCCCAGTTAAATGAGACACTTACAGATACACATACAGAGTTTGTGTACCACAGTACCACAAGTGAGAACAATTCTCTTCCAAACACACCTGTGTTATTTGATCTGCAGTAGATCAGACAGCAGAGGAGAAGCACAGCTCCAAATCCCAATTTTATCCTGAGATTCGGAGCCCAATTACAGATTAAAAATGACTTCAGAAAGATTGTAGCATCATTATGTTACTTTTACACAGAGATTAGTAGGTCTGTTGGTAAAATCTGTTGACTTTAGCAATCGTTGTTAGATTATATGCCAATGGTTAAACAAAATGTTAGCAAAATCAAACTGTCATGGTTATGTTCTGTTTTGGTTCTGTTTCTGCCTCCACATTTCCCTGAGTCCCCTCCTCTATTAATTTCCATGGTTTTTGATTAATTTGCTCGTTAGTCATTATTAGTTAAAGTCCCATGAAATCAAAATTAAAGTTAGTATCAATATGTTAGTCTTAAGGTTATCTATAAGGCAGTGTGCTCCAAAACAGTGACAACATTCGCGTTTAG